TAAACGATTGAAACTTAACCATCGTCGATAAATAATTTTATTTTATTTATCAGCATGCAATATAAACGATCAGAATTTTTGTTTTTTGATTACCAGTAATCATTGTCGATAGCCTGAATTTTATTTTGCTTGTAGATTACCATTATCCATGATGAAACATTTTTTTAGTTGCCTTCGGTCGATATCGACGACAAAATTTCTTCTAATTACATTCGACTATTGTTAATCGTTATTGACAATACTGATAATTAGTACTCATTGACGACGTAAAAGAATGTAATTATAAAGGTTATTTATTAAGCAAAAAAAAAAAAAAAAAAAAAAAATGGTATGAAAATGTACGAGACAAAGATATTTTAGAACAATACTTCTATTAACAAAAATTGTATTATTAATGTTACACTGCGATATCTTTCATCCTATTCTTTATTTCATATATTTTCGCTTTTTTTCGTTAATAAATTGATTTTATAATTAAGCTTTTTCACGTTTGTCCATGAAAATGAACTAATTATCAGCAATGTTAATAACAATTGAAAACAGCCGAATCTGAGCAGAATAAATTTTCTCTGACGATAATGATTATCAGTAACCAAAAATAAATTTCGGATCATCGATAATGGCTACTGATAACCAAAGAAAAATTATGCTCGTTTATATAGAATACTGGCAACCAAAATTAAATTTCCAACATCGATAATGGTTATTAGCAAAGAAAATAAAATTCTCGTCATCGATAATGATTGCATTGTAATCAAATAAATTTTATTCATTCGCAATGGCCATCCGCAATTAAATTTTTCTAATTAAACATATCAACTCTTATACCATAAATTTTAAAATTTGTCTTATAACAATTACGATATTCGCTTTTTATATTATTATGCCATATTATTTATTTATTGCTTTATACCTTATCTATGTATTAATTATATTATACTTTACAGTTTATATTATAGTTTACGTTATACAGTCGTCGAGTATTAGAGAAAAGACCAGGCGTTTTCGACGCTTCCTGTGGAAGCGCTTCATCTTCGTGCAACGTTTTAGGACACGTGACATTCTTTCGCTTTTTGCTCCACTTTTGCTCTACTCAGGCTTCGAATCCAAACGCGAATACCAAATGCAATTTTAAGCAACCGCGATATTCAACGTGGTCTTAAATAACTTAGCAGGGGAATAGTAGACAAACTTCTGAGAAAATTTCTTCGGATACGTTGAGAATCTGAAGAAACTTTGCCGCAAAAGCAATCTGCTAACGTATATAGAAATTATAACGAAGTTATATAGAATAAGTTATATAGTATCGATCTGAAAGAAATAATTAACACAGTTTCCCTAAATATCCTGACTTACCAATATTGGCTTGGCAACTAAGTGATTGCGGCTTCTGTTAATACCACCTAACGCCAAAATCCGCAATCACTTAGTTGCCCAGCCAATATAACGATCAATCAGCTGTTCAAATATTTTGACGATCCCTGCGAAGTTTATACGTTTGCGATAAATATCTGCTAACTTCTACGTACATTGTCCAATTTGTTAGAAATTTTATCAGCATCGTGAGTGACAGTCGTAACGCGTTATAGCGCGAGTGAAATTTCCGAATGTTTCCTATAACGTACGTAACGTGTCCATAAAACGTTGCTACGAGCGTTCGCGAGTAAATGTCTCGACTAATCCGAAGGAATAAAAAATCCGGAAGAATATTTCGAAGAGCGGAGCGAACGACGGTTTCAGGTTGTTGGATTTACTCAGCCAGGTGTTGCGGTCTCTGGCTGCAGAGTGAAATATCAAACGGCGCGTCCGCGGAACTCCGAATGCAAATAAGAAAATAAGGAAACTGAAAATTTATCTGCCGATGAAAATCGTCGATTCCTATTCCCTTTAGCATAGACTCGCGCCACGACCATCTTAAATCTCGATAAATTTATCTTGCCCCACCCTTCTCGCGTAGACTTTGATTTACGAGCGAATAATCCTACCAGGATGAAATATCGTTCGATTCTTATCCCATTAAGTGAGCCGCCCTCGCCGAATGGCTGCGTTTAATTTATTTATAGAGACGTCGCGAGAAACCTTGTATCATCCTAATGCAGCCGATAGCTTCGCGTCCGTTGAAACGTTGCAAAGGCCTAAATAGCTAGCTGATAGAGACGCAGGTCAGGCGACCGGGTTTCGTAGGATTTGGGGTCGTAGGGAACTGGATAATAATGCTGTTACGTTCGGTGACTCTACGGTCGAGGCGTCCACCAGCTATGCATATAGAATTAAGCGGGTCGCAATAATCCTAAGGCACCGCCATAAAACGAGACTTTTTGATTTATCCTTAAATCCGTCAATTGGTATAAAACATCTTCGAGTCAAGAGGTTCCTTATGGTTATTGCTCCATCAGGTAAAAACGTGGCTTTTCCCATGTTCCCCAGGATTCCACCCACAAGCGACTAGTAGTGGGGCGATCACCACCGAACGAGAGTTTCCTTTGCAACAGCATCGTCACCGGACTTCACTGATTCATCATCGTCTTTAGAACAGTCGGCATCTCCTGACCGGGTTTCCACCCATCAATCATTCACCTACTTCTCTTATACCTTACGCAACAGTGTCACTATCTTCTCTACAGTGTTGTTGGAAATATACAGGGTGGTTGGTAACTGGTGGTACAAGCGGCAAGGGGGTGATTCTACGCGAAAAAAGAAGTCGAAAATATAGAATAACAATTTTTCGTTCGAGGCTTTGTTTTCGAGAAAATCGACTTTGAATTTTCGCTCGGTACGCGTGCACTTTATTTAAAATGTGGCGGTGCACCGTCTTGTTGAGAAATTAAACTTCCTCTAGTTCTCAGCGGGACATCTTCTAATAATTCGAGACAACGATCTACAGTGAGATCCGTTCTAACGAGACGCGATAAAATGCACGCGTACCGAGCGAAAATTCAAAGTGGATTTTCTCGAAAACAAAGCCTCCAACGAACAATTTTTATTCTATATTTTCGCCTTCTTTCTTCGCGTAGAATCAGCCCCTTTCCGCCTGTACCACCAGTTACCAACCACCCTGTATATCACGCGAAAAAACGGGCGGACACTCTCGAATCGCAGCGTATGTTAACACCGACGATATCCTTCGACGAAAACCAATAATTACGAATCCGATGGTCAACCGAGTTTCAACAGGATGCGCGTGTTATTTGATAATTTGCGCGCGCGTAATAATCGCGTCACAAAAACCATAAATCGTAATTGGCAGCGTTTGGAAACAACGCGGCATTGGTGCGGCCGTTAATAATCTCGAATAATCGAATAATCTCATAGCATCAGGGAAAAAGCAATCTTATCGGATAGCGGCGATAAAAATGCGATTCGATAAACATTCCTACCACATCATCGAGCGTCCGCTCGTTCGTATCCGCTTGTACCACCAGTTACCAACCACCCTGTATATATTATAACCTGTCAACCTCAGTGTTATACTTGTAGCGGCACTCCACACCAACTAGAGTCACACGATGGCAGCGCAGTGGTTAGGTTACGAACGTTAGGGACCCGGGTTCAAATCCCAACACCCGTAGTCCGATTTTTCTTTCACGATACAAAAATGAGAAGAAAAGCAGGTACGCCAGCAGCGACATCTACACCAGCAGCGACATCTACATCAGCAGCAGAACCTATCTCGGCCTCTACACTGGCAGTAGCACTATACCACAACAAACTACTATAACTATACCTCTACTAATTACTACTACTCAACAAACTACACCTCATACTAATTCAACCATCCCTATTATCCTAACCGAAATAAGGGATCGATCTGTTCGTGGCGTCGATTAGCTAATCGTGGCGGGAATTGACGCGCTTCCTCGCGATCGCGTCTCTCCGCGACTGGTCGAATAAACAAACGCAGCTTGGTAAAATCGTGTGCCGGGCGAAGAGAAATGCGTACAGGGCAAACAAGGCGACGATCGATAGTTTCATTTCGTTAAGAGGCAAATTGATCGTCGTCGATGGTTCATAGGCTCGACCACGTTGCCAACTTCTTGCTGGCAGCTTCTCGCACGGTTGCGAATATATCTGGAAAATTCTGACCATGTGGACCTTCTACTATCTGCTATCTTCTATTTCTGTAGAAACACGCAGGACAATTTCTATGAATTTTTCACCACCTCCGTGAGCAATTTGTTATTTCTGCAACGTGAAATTCCACGTACACGCGTCAGGATTCGGCTGCTCGATTATACTACGTATGGTGTATGGTTGATTGCTTGCTAAATCAGCTTCGAGAAAGTCTCGTCCGATTGGAATTATATGCCGTTTCCTCGAGGGAGAAAAATACTCTCGAAAGTACGGTACTATCCGCATAAATAAGCAGAGCCGTGCAACAGCCAGGACAATTAACCGGAGATGCAGCTATTCATAAATTACCTGCTGTTATCCGAGACTGACTTAGTTCGCAGGATACCGACAAATTTCTAACTAAACCGCAGATTTCCGTAGGAAATATTTTCATAAAGCCAACCGAACAAATAGCATCCAAGTAGAAATTTATTTCATCCGCTGAATAATATCAAAAGTATACTATATACGTTGAATATTTCGCGTATTTTCCTCATGCTGTGCTCATTTCTACAACTTTAACTTGCCTCGCGAAATGTACAAAAATCCTGCATTCGTAAGTTCTTCAGACAATATGAAATACCAATGGCGAATAACACGGAACAAACGGTTGCTCGTTTGCCATTTAAATCACCGAGGAGGAGCAACTCGTTTGACCAAAAACGCTATTTGCTAACCTCTTCGTTTCATGCTAGCAATTTTCAGGACACGTGCGTTTCCACGCAAATCATTGCTATACAAATACTACAGAGTTTCCGTGTTATTTGCTCGTGAAATTGTTCCACGGTTACACGTTTAACTCTATCGCAGTTGAGAAAAACTCAGCCAAATAAGCTGTGCTCCTCAACGTCGATACGTTTATCTCTGTTATGGCTTTTACGCGAACTTACCCCGAATAGGCAAACTTGGAGAAGTAGAGTATCATCCTCAAGGACAGGTCTCGTTCCTTTTCCGTGTACTCGAGGGTCAAGTTGAGAGGATGGCCGAACACGTACTCCACCTCGTCGCCGTGCATCACTCCCATCCACTCACCCCATAGGTTGGTGCTGGTCCTCTGAAACACACAGCAGCTCGGTTATATCCGCGTTAAACGCGCTCGTTCAAATACGTTGCCGGGGTTGTCGTCATGTATCAGGCCTCCTCCACCTCCTCCTGCCCCTTCCTGTCTCCCACTCTCTCTCAGCGTTTCGTGCCAACCCCATAGATCGACCCTCGTCTCTTCGCTGACGCGATATCGCGTTGCTATTAACCGCTGGCCATCCCGCAGTTTGTCAGTTTTCATTTCAGCCGTGCCACTTGCTCGCTGGAAACGGCCTCTCGCCGGGAAATTGATTCCTACCGAGCGGAAAAAAAGAGGGAAAAAAGAAAAGAAGAAAAAAAAAAGGGGGAACTTCGGCGTATTTTGCAAAACGCAGTTTCGCAAATGGGCGAAACTATTTTTTATTCTCGCGTTCGGTCGACGGGATTATCGGAGAAAAGCGGCGGAACGTAGAACGAGACTTTGTTATCGAAATGCAGGCGAGTTACGCGAGAGGAGGACGCGGATTTTGGCGAAATTTACGTCGAATGTTTGTCGTTGTGTAAAATAAAAGATTCTGAAAACGCGTGTTAATGTGGTTGGCTCGGATAATTCACGTGCGAATGGAGCGTAACGTTAAGTAAGAGAAATTAACAAAGGGATTGGAATTTTTCACACCTTGTTCGGACAAATAATTTCTGATAAATATTCGCCACGCACGAGTTCAAAGGAAATTTTTCCCTACGTTCCCTGGAGACGTCACAAAAAGTTTATGTGCAACCATCAACTTTGATGGTCTCTTCCATGTGGACGATGGTATAAAAAAATACGTGTCAAATATTTTTTTGAGATCTCCCATACATGTAAATGGCATGAAAATCATCAAACTCGTAAAACAAGTTACGTTAGGTTTGTGTTAAGTAACGCACATAGACAGAGAAAAGTAACGGAGTCGAGCTGACGCACGGAGAAGCGAGACAGTTTCGCTACGAGGGATTCGTCGAGTGATCGCGTGAATATTTATGGCATCGCTTTCGTCGTTGTAATAATGTTGCTTTCGTGGCCGATACGATATTGGCGGAAGCAATTCGGAAACGATATATTTTTCAATAATGCAACGAACATTTTTTCGAAATATATCGCGCTGCTTTTCTGGCCGGAAGTAACGTTACGAACCGAGAGCTTCCTGAACTCGACACTGACATCGTTGAAATACGCCGGTCCTCTCAGAAAACATGCATATCGATGGAAATTTTTTGACGCTCCAAAACGAAACTCCGACCTAACGCAGACCTAACCTAGATACCATTAGGTCAGCAACCCATATTCGCCTCTTCCTGTAATAATGCAAACAGGTTACCCAGTTATCAGACAGATGGATTAAAAGATGGATGATTTAACGCGGGAAGAAAAATTGTGAGAAGAGAAAACAGCCAGCCTTTCGAAGCAATATACGCGGAATTAGAGAAATGTAAGGAAAATTGAAACGGGGATGCTGAGAATGGCTGAGCAGTCTATCAACTACCGCTACCTTGAAGAATTTTTTTTATGGATTTATGCCAGCTGTCTGTTTCTTCTTAGCTGTCATAATAATTCGGGTGATTGTATACGAAATTATGCAAACTCTAAATTAAAAAAAGAAAGAATATATATATATATCTATATAAATATATAACATGTAAAATAAATATATTATATGAATATATATATTATGTTTGGCTACAGGCGTTGGAAAATTTAAGAGGAGATTCTTGAAGCTGAAATAAGACGAACATCAAGAATAAAAAAATTGCGTTTTCTGCTTTGTTTTTCAGTTATTGACAGTTAAAAATTGGCTAAAATGTCCCTACACGCGAGCAAACCTCCTTACACGAACGAAAGGAGGTCAGCCTAAGCAGCGGGGCGTACAGTGATCCTCAAACCGAATATGGGCGGCAGCTTACTTCGTACAGGTCGTAGAAAAGAAAACCACGATATTCAGATACGTAAATCCCGCGCGACGTTTTACGAAAGAAATGGTAGATCAAATATTAAACCTGCTTACTCATGGAAATCCGTAAAAGTATATAGAAAACCGCCCTATGAAATTATATACACACCATATAGTTTGCAGCATATTTGTTTGCACGATGCCATTAACCTATTCTCTTTCGTTTATTAAATGTACGTGTAAATATGATTTAAACTATATCGCGTTTGGTCTCATTTTAATCAGAAAAATCTCACGACACACGTTGGTCAAAGTTTAACTAAGAAACAACCAAAAATAAGAAAGTTTCATCGTTGTCTCATCATGAATAATTGGTACTTTTTTCATGTACGACTGAATTCGGATCAGGTTACGTTATTCAGCTGTCAAAATTCGCCATATTTCAAACGGTATATTGCGATCCCCTGGGAACAGGCAACCAGCCCCACTAGCGAGGATGACGACCGGTCAATTAAGGGGGAAAAAGAGGCGGCCATTTACGGACACACTATCGTAGTTGTAAGGTTAATTAAGAATAAAGATGAAGGGAGGAAAATTGCGCGGTATTACGCGAAGAATAAGTATTAAGAGTATTCGAAACGACTGAGACGCAGCCAGGTGTCTACTCGAGACAGAAATTATTCTAATATAGTAGCTACACTGAAATACAGAGTCTTTAGAGGATCAACGGAGCGTCAGCAGCCTGTGGAAACCGGCGAAGCTTCTTGTCCCGAGACACATCTCGCGTTATGGTTATCGTCTCGATCCCGCCTAGGTTCTAGCCTAGGGAAAATTAAGGCCCGACCCGGAATCGTTGGTAATTGAACGTTCGTCCTCGTGAATAGCGTCTCCCGGTAACGTACAATACCGGCTCGTTCCTAACTTTCGTCCCCTTCCTTTGCCAGAAGCCTCCATCATCCTCCGTAATTCAAAGTTACGCGGAAATTTCGCGTTTACTCGGTCGCATCTCTCTTCTTCGTCGAGGTCTTCCTACAGTTACGACGCCAGCTTTTAATCCGCGTTTAAATCTGTTCAGCTTGAACTGATTTCAGAGTTCTGCGCGAATTCTTTCCAGCAAGTTCACAATGGCAAGGTCGCAAGCCCGGGTGCACATCTTTCGAACGTGGAATTAATGAAGACGCTGATTAATCTGGCGCGATCGAATCTTATAAACTGACGCCTGCATTCACCGCGACGTTACAAGAATTAATTAGACGTACTTTTCTCCTTTAACTTCCACGTCCCTGTCATCGTTAGGCGTCGTTCACACTGTGACGAGCCGCTTTATTACCGAATAGGTAAACTCCGCGAGATAGAAAGTGGAGAAAATTGATGAAATTGTATAAGAAATGCGTCGATCTGATGCTGACATTTCCAAGATTTCCAAAGTGTCGAACGTTTCGAAAATTTAGAGAAGCGGAGTAAACCAGTTTGGCCTTTGAACGTCCCGCGTTGGAAAATACACCGTGTCCTTCATCTCTACATTTTTATACGAAGAATCCTCATCGAGTAATCAGACGACGATAACTGTGCAGAGTTAAGAATATTCAACGTGGAATGAAGGTACGCGTAATATTGTTTCGTTATGGACAAATTGTGTTGCTGAGAGCAGAAGAGAGAAATATGTACTGGCTGTGTTGGAACTTGGTTCGTTATCGGATGACGATTATAAACAGCAATGGCTGGGCTGTATTATATCGGTGCAGGTCGTTGGCAAACACGGTAGATCCGCGTTCCCGTTGCAAACACTGCGATTTAAACAACCCCCGCCTCTACCCACTGTGTTTGCTCTCCCTTATCGATGATTAACAGATTCACGGTGCAGCAATTTCAAAAATACAGCGAGCGTTCCGCCTATAAAAAGAGGAACACCCGTTATTTGATTATAAGGAATGGGCCATAGATACGAAGAGATACATCGATGTTTTAGAATTTTAGCCTGCGGCACGTCATAGAACGCTTAATCAAATTTGTGCAACGAAGATTGCTGACGTAGCGTCAAATTGGGATGCTCGTTCCCTAGCGTAGGAATTTGAGAAAGAAGAAAAAATGATACGAGCGGATAGATGGAAATAAATCGATCGATACAAAGTAGTCTAAGATCTTCTATTTTTTGGGATCTCGGCATTAGCCCCTGCAGCGGACATCGTCAACAACAGTTGATCAAATTTGTGACAGCAAGAGACGATGCACGCAGTTGCAAATTCGGATACTCGTTCCGCGGTCTACGACTTGGGAAAACAAGAAAGACGATACAAGTCGATGGAAATAAAGTAGCTAAAACTAAGTCGTGCAATTCTCGAATCGTATTTTCAAGGATTGTCGAATTTGAATTTTCCTTTCGCTTATCGTAGCGTAGATTTTTTTTTATCGAAATAGACGAGAAGCACGCGTGGTAAATTTCTAGAGCTAGAGAGATTTCTAGAAACATAGAAATTTCTAGAAACGCCAGAAGTACACGTAGCGCGTACTCTTGAATCCGTAGACTGACGTCACGGTATCTGCTGGATTTGAGTACAATACGCGAGCAACGATGTGTTATTTATACGAAACCTCGCCCAATTCTGTGTCAATTAAGGATCAGTCGGTAATTCGGTCTGACCTCTAATTCGGGATTGAATTAAATTTCATGAAACACGGCCCCCTATCGATCGGCCCGGTTCGAGATCCTATTGTGTCGGTTTTCTCCTCGTCTGTCCTTTTTAAAAGTTCGTTGGGACGTCGTATTATGCACGGATTTCCAGTTATTTCCGGCGAATCCGGCCGGGATTTAAGAATACACTCGACTGAATCAATAAATGGCCCAGTTGATAAGACGGCTTCCGTCGGAAGATACAATAAAACCGCGGCTCTTCCGCCTCTTCTCGTCTCCCCCGTGCCGAAATATAACGAAATCCGGCGAGATCGAATCCCGAGCAGCCAGTTTCCCTTATTGGCTTCTCCAAACCTCTATTTCTGTCGCTCTAGTTGCACATCTATTTACACGTTTATTTACCCAATCAGTTCTTTTGTCCAGCCTCGACACAGTAATTATTATCATTACTATCGTAGTTGTTCTTGTTGTTGT